TTTTTTTTTTTTTTCACATAAAATAGTTATTATCCTTAAAAAAATAGGAATTGGTACCGTACGAGACTTGGTCGTTAAGGGTCTATTTGAAGTCGGCGCACCGCCTGAAAGTTCTGTTCTTTTATAGAAAAGCCGTCTTTATCATAGCTGTTTTTTGGTTCACGCGTCCTTGAATTTTCTGTTTAGGGGATTTTTGTGCTGTTGAATAATTTTTCGCTCAATAAATATAATAAAGCCAGGCCCATATTTCCCCTCGCGAAGAAGTTCTGTTTTTTCGGATAAAGTTTGGATCTTGTGGCCTTCTGTGATAGATTTAGGGTTTATTGATTTTGAATTTTGAAAGGGTTTTTGCAGATAGCCCTTTTGCAGAGAGGACAGGGAAGTTAATAAGTTGCTGCTGTTGTTTTGTGAGTTTGATTGATTAAAAACTGTTTTGATGGGGAATAGCAGCTCAAGTGGAAGCTCGAGGCAATCCTCAATGAATCATTCGAATTCTGCATCCGGGTGGCAGCACGATTACGCCCAATCATCATATTTGCAGTACGCGCAGAATTATCCCACGCAGCATCCTTATCCAGCCCCAGCAGGATATCCACCGCAAAGCCCCTATTATCCTCCTCCTCCTCAGGATTACGGGAGTCAATATAACGAGGTTGCATCCCGGCCTCACGCGCCGCAAAAGAAATTTGACAGGAGATACTCGAGGATTGCGGACAATTATAGGTCGTTAGATGAGGTATGGAAGCATTGGTTATATTGGATAATGAATGTTACAAGTATGTGAGAGATGAATAAGAAGTTAAGAACTACTATTAGTTTGAAACTGTGTAATCAATATTTAGTACCATTATGTTAAGTGTTTTGCCGGTTGAAATTGAAATATTTGTATTAGACGAGAAAAAATGGATCTTTGATAGATATGTATGAGATCGTTTGTTAGATTAAGGGATCATGGTAAATTGGAAATGTATGAGATAGATATGTATGAGATCTTTGATAGTACATGTGTTTTGAAATACGACTTTATTGTATCATCTCTTTCAAGTGATTTGTGTATGGCAAAAATTATTTGTCAGGTTACAGAAGCACTAGCACGTGCTGGTCTTGAGTCTTCCAACCTCATTGTCGGAATTGATTTCACCAAGAGCAATGAATGGACAGGTTTTTCTATTTCTTTTTCCCTTTTCGATATGTTGGTTAAATTTGATGGCGTAAACAAGAATTTGGTGTTTCCATCTTTAGGCAAGAGGTCATACGACGGTAGAAGCTTACATCACATTGGGAATGGCCTGAATCCGTATGAGCAAGCTATATCCATTATTGGGAAGACTTTGGCAGCTTTTGATGATGATAACTTGATCCCTTGTTTTGGGTTTGGCGATGGTAGTAAATCACAAACCTGTGTTGAATTCTGGAATTTGTAATTGGCTTGTCCGTAAAATAATATAATTGTTCGTTTAATTAAATCTTGACAGCATCAACTCACGATCAGGACGTATTCAGTTTCTACCCTGATGATAGATTTTGCAATGGGTTTGAGGAAGTCTTGAGCCGATATAGAGAAATTGTTCCCAAACTTAAACTAGCAGGTTACTTAGTTTACCTATATCTAAATTGATTTAGCCTGTCAGATTTAGTATCCGAGTGATTATGCTTTTGGCTTACAGTTAACACTTTGTTGCAGGTCCAACATCTTTCGCACCAATAATCGAAATGGCTATGACTATTGTCGAGCAAAGTGGAGGTCAGTACCACGTGCTAGTGGTTATTGCCGATGGACAGGTATACTTGATTAAGTATTCGCTATTCGGTTGATTTTTTATTTTTTATTTCTAATAAGCCGGCAACTTATTGTCTGTATTTATAGGTAACCAGAAGTGTTGATACTGAAAACGGACAGTTAAGCCCGCAGGAGAGAAAAACTGTTCAAGCAATCGTTGAAGCTAGGCAAGTATTTGTAAATAAATTGTGGATTATATATGTTATCAGCTTTACATGTTTTTTATTTATTAACGTATAATATCTGCAGCAAGTTTCCTTTATCTATTATTTTGGTCGGGGTTGGAGATGGCCCTTGGGACATGATGAGGGAATTTGACGACAATATCCCTTCTCGCGACTTTGATAACTTCCAGGTCACTATTGATGTTCCAAAATTTTCTTTTATTACTTTTAGTTTTACTCTTGCTTTTGACATTGAGACACACTTTTGTTCTCTAGTTTGTCAATTTTACGGAGATCATGTCCAAAAACGCGCACCAATCTAGAAAAGAGACAGAGTTTGCTCTTGCGGCATTAATGGAAATTCCTTCACAGTATAAAGCTACTATGGAGCTTAATTTGCTAGGGTATTTTTTCTTCAACTTTGTATTGATTACTCTGTTTTTGTTCGTACGAGACAATATCAACTTACTATTTATCATTTTCGTAATTTAGTGGACGAAAAGGAAATGCTTCAGGCCGGATAGCTCTTCCACCTCCAGTCCACAATGCTGCTGGTTTTGGCTCGGCTTTAAAGCCCTCACGTGCAACAAGCTTTCAGTACAGCTCGACGTCATATCACGACCAAAAACCCTCTGCTAATTTGGCCCCTTCTAATCCGAGCTCCACTTACGAACATCAGGTGGGTACATATGTATATATTGATATCAATATTAGATTTAAAATAATAAATTCCCGCAAAATATCACTTAACAAGCGTTCGTTTATTCTGTATTTCAGATTTGTCCCATTTGCCTTACTAATCCTAAGGACATGGCTTTTGGTTGTGGTCACCAGGTAAATTTGGCTTAATTGTTTTTTTTTTTACTATGACGGCGAGCAGTTAGATTATCTCTGACTTTGTTCATCCAATTTTGTTTGTCAGACGTGCTGCGATTGTGGCCAATCCCTCCAGATGTGTCCAATTTGCCGCAGTCCAATCGAGACCAGAATAAAGCTATATTAAGTTTGTCCGTACATATTTTGGAAAATCGGCTTCTTCATCAAGTTCCTGGTAGCTGCCTTTGGGTTTCTTTTATGAGTTTTGATGAGGGTGTACAGATGAGAGTGTTGCATTTTCAAGTACATAAGTTGATTGTTATTGTTATTATACCTTCATTCTTTTGGCCGATCGACATTTTTCCTACGTCTGGTGAGCTTAGAATAGGAGTTGTGGGACTTGTGAGCTTTATCTCTTTTGTTTATGCTATTCTTTATGTTGATGGATTTTGAGTTCTCGCTGTATGGTTCTGTAAGTTGAAGGGTGGATTTGTGAAGTTAGAAAGTTTTTTTTTTTTTTTTTGGTTGTGGATTTGACACTTGATATACATCCTTTACATGATGGACAGCTAGTTTGATTATGCCCCATGCTGCCATCATTCACACTTGAAACTCTTTTCTCAGACATTAACTACTATGCCAACTTGTCCTTATCTATTGTTGAATTATTTTGCTTTCATGTGGCAATGCTCATTAGAGGGTAGGCCCCCTTTTCACCAAAAAATAGTTGCCTATCAATAAATGCACCACAGCTCTTGTGTCAAAGCATTTTCTCCCTTTTATCAATTGAGAAGATTTAACTTCATTTAGTAGCATATAAAATTAGCTGGTTTGACTAATGGATTTAATTAATAATTTGCCAAAAAATAATTTAATTAGCAGTTTGTTAAATAAGTGCTTAGTAAATCAGCTAATGAACTAAAGAATCAAATATTTTTATTTTTCTTTGAACATAATAATCTTACATGACTGAAACTTGCAATTCATTGTATAAAATCAAGAAAACAAATTTATAAAAATAAACATAACAAAACCCTGCCATAAATGCACCAACCAAAATGCAAACCTAATAAACTGTTACCTTTCATCATAACTGAACACACACACTCACACAACAAAAGTACAGCCTTTCTTGTTCTTATTTTCTTCACAATCAACCTTTCTCCATCCCCTTACCTGCAATGGCCACATCTGCCAAGCCCTCTTACCAAAGGCTGAAACACGAGACCTGGTTCGAACACGAACACGAAGATCATCGTTATTACAACGGCTTTCTAGAGAAGGTGGTCCGAAGATCAAGAAGCTCCAGGCTCGGAAAATTCCGAATCAGACGAAAACTGAGGGTTAAAAGCCCAAGTCTGAGGAGATTCGTGAGAAGAAAAACTCGGGTGGTAAAGTTTGCATGGAGAAAAGTTTACGAGAGACTGAAGGAAAGCCGGTCGCATTTTGGTGATCTTTTTGCTGGGAACTATTTGTTCATGCAGGTCACGCCAACTCCATTACAGCATAATAATAAGGTGTCTTATGTTAAAGGAGATCATCTTCCTGGGTTGTGTTCTGTTTCTAGGATTACTTAGGGTGTGATTGAATATGAATACAACCGGTTTTGGTTGAATTTGGTTAGTTATATAAGGTGAGTTATTTTGAATAAAGTTGATTAAGTTGATGATTTTGAGTTTGCAATTAAATAATATTTAAATTGTAATGACTAAAGTTGATTTAATGTAAAATAAAATGATCTGATTAGAATATCTTTCTTCAGATTAAATTATTTCTTCATCATACAAGAATTTTCTTTGGGAGCAGAAAGTTCTTCCAGCTTTGATGATGCATTTGTTATGTAAATCTTCTAATCCCAAGACGTCCACTGTAATTTCTTCTTGCCACGGTTGTCTATGGCTAACCATCTTCTAATCACGTCGAATAAGAATGTGAAGGAAATAATTACTCCACAATAATACATCACACCATTGTCATATTTTACATCAGTTCGGATACTTAAACTGTACATTTCTATTAGAATCTCTTATGATTAAATGAAATTGGTTTGATGCAAATAGAGCAGATAATATGAGTCAATTGCAGCATCCACCTCCCTGAGCAACTGTCCCATCTCTCCCACCCGCGGGACCTTGAGACCTTCCATAGCCAATTTTGATTCCCGACGACTGCAATTTTAAGTACACTGCATCAATAATAGATTTATTATGAAAACAGATAAATTGTCTCGATAAACAGTGCTCTAACCTCGTTGGACACGTCAAAGACTCCTTCCTGAATTTTCTGAAGTATCTTGGTTGCAGTCTTAGTAAACGCCTAAACACAGATCACAATGGAAAAGGAAAACAATGGGGTAAAACTGTAAGAGCGAATACCGAGATTTATACTAGAACAGAAGTAACATTCTTATTAAATATAGGCTCTTTGTTTGACCTCTTCCACATTTTGAGCAGTTCTAGCAGAAGCCTCCAAGAACAGAAGCCCGTTTTCCTTTGCAAACTGCTCCCCTTCCTCTTTACTTACAGCCCTACGATGTGCAAGATCACTTTTATTTCCAACAAGCATTATTGTCATATTAGGATTTGCATGCTGCCGAGCATCTTCCAGCCAGCTTGCGAGATGATTGAATGTTTCCCTCCTGGGCAAAATATGGCACTATTCTCAGACTAAGAGAAAAGTTTATTCATGTTTAGAATCTCACCATATGAAGAGGGCCAAACACAATACAATGTATATCCTTCACGTTCAGTGTAAAATATAATCTTTTTTTCTTTAAATAATTATGTTACCATTTATGGTCTGCGAGCTAAACACATAAGCAAAAATTTTACACTTGTCATAGCTGATAAAACCTTAGTCACCAACTATCGAGCAGAGAATTCATTGAAACATAGTACATTTCCCCATTACACCATATCAACATCCACCTTTGTGTAATATTAGTCTAGACAACAAGCATACTTCAATAGGACAAACACAAGTTGCATAACTAAGACCATGACCCTCAAAACAAATGAATATATTCATTTTTAAGAAGGAACTTCATAATTGAATACTAGCATAACATTCGGGAGGTATACACAGATCAAACAGATTAAGTATGTGTATAGAAAAAGTACAAGCATTCATCTACCTTGTGATGTCATAAACCAAAAGGGCACCAGCAGCTCCTCTGTAATATGACCTAGTAATGGATCTGAACGATTCCTGACCAGCCTAAAATTACGAAAGAAAACACGAAAGAGAAATAGGGATTCACATAAAGTTCCAGCACAAACCAAAAGCAGCATCTATTGTCTACAACTGGAACGACAAAACCGAATACCAAGTTACAGACAGTATCACAACACAATCAACACCTCTCCAAACCCTTTTAGTACCCCCAATATTTGGGGCATAATAACATCACTTTTGTCTCTCCAAACTCAATCAGATAAGGCTAGTTCTTGTACAACTAGAATCAATCAATGCCCAATTGCGCATTGTTTGTCTAAAAAAATAAAATAAATAATAACTGAATATATGAAAATTCTAATAAAGCACTGTTAGCTTATTATTACAGTGTCCCAAATCTGAAGCTTAATCGGCCTGCCGTCGATGGTAACCATTCGAGCCCCAAATTCAACACCGATAGTGAGATCATGCACCGGCTGGAACCTCTTGTCGGTGAATTGCAGAAGCAAACACGATTTTCCGACACCTACAAAAAGCGAAGTGAGGATTGCAAAAGGTTTAACTGTGTTGCCCTAACCTTTTTTTTGTTTCCGGTTCAGGAAAGAGGTGCCTCCGTTACCTGTGTCGCCGATGATTATGTACTTGAAGAGGTAGTCATACGACATTCTTCCCCCACTAAACGACGACGTTCGCAGTTCGATCTGTGGTTGGTTGGTTGGTTTAGCACTTTGGCCTCTGCAATTTTTATAGTTATGAAGAAAAGGAATTTGAAGGATTTGGTCGGTATACGTGTGTGTTCTCTATTTATACTATTGAAATCAAAGATTTGATCTTTCGTTTCGAGAAATCAAAGATTTGGGACTTATTATATTATTTTTTATAATATAAAAAAAAAAATCAAAGATTTGGGACTTATTATATTATTTTTTATAAATAAGATTCTTTTATTTAATTTGGACTCTTTTAATACCATAAGTTTGGAATTAAAAATTGAATAATATTATTATATATATTTTTCTATAAAATTTACTACTAGTTATCCCATCCAAATATTTATAACTATTGAGTACATAAGATTTTTTTAGTTATCTGTCACATAAGTAACACTTATATTTTTTTTTCTTTATATTCAATTTATATTATTAGGTATGGCACCTCTGGAAATATGTGATATTATGGTATTGTAGCGTTGTTGTTTTCTAATTGCAGCTACATAATTGCATTTGCTAAACAAAATCAGGGAATTAACTCATATAAATTAATGAAAAATGCTATTTCGTCGGGAATTTTAACCATTAGATACACATGTAGTTAGTATAAGATAGATGATCTAACGGTTAAAACACCTAACGAGATGGTTCCGTAACATTATCATAGTATTTCTCTTAATTAATAGCAAAACATTGGATTTAGAAGAGTCATAAAACAGTTGAGATACCACTTTTGTTTTGCTTACTCAATAATTAATTTTGTAACAAACAAATCTATATATATATATATAATTACTGACTGCTAGCATTTAAGAAAACCTCTTAAATTATACTTACGTGGCAGATTCCCGCCTAAAACCGTTACTAATCATTTATTTTTTATTTTTAACTACAAAATCAAATTGGCATTAAACCACCTGAAACCGTTACTAATCATTTATTTTTTATTTTTTACTACAAAATCAAATCGACATTAAACCGTTACTAATCATTTATTTTTCTACTTTTTGTACTGCAAGAACACATAACAACATTAGTATTAGTGCTTTGACTATCATAAAATTGACAAAAAACTCATTTACTGATGAAACTACTGTAGTCGTTACAATTTGGTTGATTTATACATAATTTTTTAACAAGTTAATTAGAGGTCCCAATTATCAATATACATTTTATTATGCAAAAACTTGATTTGGTCAACATATGTACAGTTAATAATTATTAATGCAGATTGTACCAAAAAATAATGTAGAACATAAAGTGAATAAATAACCTTAAATACAAAACATACAAATAAAGAAAGGCAAATTACAAATAAAAAAGTATGCCACAAGCTACTAAGCGATGAATTAGTTCTACAAAATAAATTAGAAAAAAAGTTCAGATATAATATAACATCAAATGAATTCTTTCTAAGTTATTGAATCAAATAGTTCTAAATATGAAAAATGAAGTCGGAAATTAAAGAAAATATTGAATGAAATAGAAACAATGAATGTACATGATTTCTACAGTTTAAATGTATAATACCCTTACATTAGTTTTTTTTTTTTTTTTTTTTTNNTTTTTGTTATCCACAAAATAGTAGCTGAATGTACAAAATCCACATTTTGAAGTGATTATAGTCTTAACCTTTTAACAAATTGCGACATAACAAGATAGATAATTCAAAACCTAATACATAAAAGCGAAAAGATAAATTGTTAGCAACAAGAGTTCATTAGTATATTTAAAAAAATTTCTTGGCCCAAAACTCAAGTTCATAAAAAAAATAAAAACTAAATTTTAAAAATAAGTATGAATCATCAAAATAAGCCAGTTGAAGATTTGAAAAATACGAATGGCTAAAAATTAGGTAATAAAATACTTGGCACTCAACCTCAATTGTCTAAATTGTCTCACAGTAAATGACCATGAGAACAAATTCATTCAACATGTTAAATTAGATCTTTGGTACAGTCACTGACCCAACCCCAGCCCTCAAAATGAAGCACACACATTGAAACAAAAGTCAACAATCAGTCACCTACACAATTTACAAACCTCATCCAAATAAACCCCAATCAATACAATGAAACTGGCGTGTAAGAAAAATGAGAAGGAAATGCTTACTTGGAGAGCGGGGGATCTTCGGGTCGGAGGAGGTCGAGGGTGACAACCACTTTGGCAACCGTGGATAGTCACGACGGAGATGGCGGCGGATTATTGCCACGCTTTCGTGAGCCTAACAGATCGGTCGGCTTTGGCAGTATCGACGATCGCTTTATCTATCCTCCACGGAAGGGAGGATGATAGATCTGTTCAAAGTTCGTAAAGTTTTTTACAAATAACAGACAAATAATTTTGGAAGTCCTCATACAATTTTCAACATTAAAACAAGAAACGCCTTAAATACGCTACAAACCTTAACAAATATATTATGACATTACAAAAAAATAAAAAATAAAAATAAAAAAAAAGTCTGAAAAAAATAACATTTGAAGTGCCTATTTGAATATATTATTCAAAAAATCTTCCAAAATCTTATAACCTGAAACAATAATCTTTGATAATGCGTTATATCCATGAAAATACAAATATAAATGAATGCTTAAAAAATAAAATATAAATATAATAAACGAAATAAAAAAGGAATATAGATCTTTTTTTCCGACCAATTTCACCAACTTGCTATAGATTAGCATGGTTGTATTCAAAATCGGTCGAATTTTATGTCCGATCTGTTTTTACGTTGGAAATATTCAGGTGTTTTTTTCTTAGTTTGGGAGTATAGAACAGAAAATCTCTCCAATGAATTATGGTTTTCATCTGGATTCTCGGCGAGAATTTTTTTCAGAAATAAGATATAATAAGATCATTAGGTTTGCAGAGAAAAAAAGAGATGAGAGATGGACATGAATGATATCAAATGTCAAATGAGGTAGTGGTAACTGCCAATAAAACCTTAGGGTTTCTAGATCCTTCCGTTTATTGGGCTCTTTTTAGTTGGGTTCGAATATTTTGGTTTAAGTGGTCAATTATTTTGATGAAAATCAAGTCTTTCGAACCCAAGTTTAGTTCCCGTCAATAATTGAATTTACGCACAATAACAAACACGTAACAATTTTCGGCAGCCCTTTACTTTTGGCCCATATTTTTTTATTTAAAGTTTGGATTGAAATATTAGTACGTGCAAAATATTATTGACCCAATTATTGTTTGATAATATTTAGCAACCTTTTTTTTATATTTTCTTTTTTTATTTGAAACTAAATAGTATGTTATTATGTTCACAAATTTTGCTTTTTAAATTATAATTTCATATAATTCTCCGTATTTAAGCATACACAATTCTTAATTTTTCTAAACTTTTGAAAACTTTAAATTTGACATTATTAAATAGATAGTTGTATATTATCTTTTTTTTTTAAAATAATTAATAGTGCACAATTTAACAGCTTTACAAGATTTTAAATTTTTTGAAACATTGATCACTTCATGGGGTTGTGCAACGGTATTGTTGATCAAAATTCGATCTATCATCTATATTTCTTGAATCTTTGTATAAATTCGAGTAATATGTTTTTGTTGTCCTACTTTTGTGGTCAAAAGGTACACGATTGGTTTTTACTAAGATCAACAATAATGTCATTGAATGTAGAATTTTAACCGATGCCAGAATTGGTGATAATGTTCTTAGTAGGCTCACAATTATACCACCCGATTTGAGTGTAACTTTCAAGTTTCAGTGTAGACAGTTCCCGCCCATGGTTTCATATGATATGACAATCAATAAGTGTCAAGGGCAGTTTTTGTCGCACGCCGTCCTACAACTTAAGAGCCCCCGTATTTAGTCCTGGACAATTATACATGGCGCTTTCCAGAATCACGAATCGGATGATTTTGAGGATAATGATTTATGGTGATGAAAATTGTGACGATAGAAAAACCACAAACGTTTTATATAAAGAATTGTTTAATAATATTTAGATTTCTTTCTTAAATTTTTTTTCCATGATTATGATATGATTTTTATAATTTTTTTTATTATTTTTTCTTCTATTATATAGTTTTCCGTGCAAATGCACGGGTAAAAAACTAGTATGCAATAAACTTTAGAATTTATTTTCTAATAATCCTCTCTACACAACACACACCACCTATCCTTGCGTATTACAATATAATTAATTTCTTTCTTACAAATAAAACCAACCTACATTTGTTTACTAGTCAATTTGTTCAATCTCCAGCAATAAACCTCTCTTGAACTCCAAGTATGGTCTTGATATTGGACAATCTTCTTCACTTGTTTTCCACCTTTTGCACACAATTAATTGTCAGAAAATTTGGATCCATTAAGAATTATTACAATATATTCTGAGCTTGACAAACACAAATAAATTTTTACATCACAATTAACTATTATAAATCATACCTAAAATTAAGCACAAGATGGTGAAGGAAAAATGCAGTCTCTAGTTTACCAAGCTCTGCCCCAGGGCAAATTCGAAGTCCACCACCATAAGGGCTCACTTTTCTGCTTGTTGTTGGGTCCTTAATATCAATATAATAAGCACAATTATGGAATATATAGTACTAATAAGATTAAAAGAAAAATACTTTTTCGACAATATACATACTTTTAAACTGAAACATCATATTTTAAAAAACAACGTAAATAAAAGTATGTCAGACAGTTCAATCTTCATGACATAAATGTGTATTTTTGTTACAAATGTCTGACTGATCGACCTGTTTAACGGTTAGTCCATCGAATTTGAGACACCGTAGAAATAAATAAGTCAATATATAACTAGAAAAGTACTTACTATCCATCTCCAAGGGTTGAATTCAGAGGGATTTTGGTGAAGGGTTGGATCAAGATGTGCACCTAAGATAATTGGGAGAACTTGCCATCCCTCTGGAATTACATACCCTGCAACATCAATTTATTACACAACAACAACAAAAATGTTACAAAAACATTATATACATGCAAGTAATAATTTCATTTTTTTCAAAAAATAAATATTATTCTAACAGAAAATTAACTTAAAAACCTTTGAACTTTACATCCTCGAGGGCCTTCCGGTGCACAAACTTAACCAGATTTCCACAACGCAGAGCCTCATTAAGCACCTAGCCAAGTGCAAGCACGATATTTTTAGAAAACATTATTTCCATTTTAACTAATGTCGGTAACACGATAGCAAGATTTTACGATTTTTTTTTTTTTTTTTTACCAAACTAAGTGAAATCGTTTACTTTTACTATACGTACATGAGACGTGAATTCCATATTCTTGTAATCGTCCCAGTTAAGAGGCTCCCCTTCTTTCTTCCTTTTCCTCAGTACTTTGTGCTCATTCTGAATTATATTTTTTTTAAAAAAAAAAGGAAAAAAAAAATAGTATATTAAGCTGGCATGACATGTTTTGTTTGCAAAGTATACAACTTTATGCTATTCAAATCAACACTATTTTGCAACTTTATGAAAAAAAAATCCTACTAACTAATCAATCCTTTGGAATATGATATAATATAATGAGTGGTGCCTAATCAATCACCTGAAGTGTCTGAAGGGCTAATGGGGCCTGAGCCAGAAAATAGACGACGAGGGCCATCAGCCCTGAGGTTGTTTCGTAACCCGCTAGCAAAAGGTCCAGCAAAACACTTACTTTTTCCTCGTAATTTAATCCGCCATTTGATAAGATCTCGTCAAGAAAATCTCCTCTTCTTCGTGTTTTTTTACC